CTGGCCAGGGGGCACGGGTGGCCCAGTAGCGTGAGGCGCCGCGATTCGCTGTGCAGAGTTGCGTCCCTTGGGCTCGTCATAAACCTATGATTGTGGGTTCGAATCCCGGTTCGCCCCGATTATGTTTCTAAGTTTGTCAGCACCATACCCATGCTCGCGGGTTTCACCGAAGTGGTAAACATCTGAGACCTGCATCACTTCGGGCTTTCTTCCCACATTAAGCTGACACGTCCTGATATAACTGGAATACTGTTAAAAGCGGCATTTACCCAACTCACTCACTCATTCTGAGTGTGATTAAGTCGTCATAATTATTAGTATTTCTCACAAACTGACAGAGCACTAACATTTAAAGGGCCCAAATAAGATATGAAGTCACATCCTTTTAACGCGATTTAAGATGGTCTCCGTTTCTGAGCCTTGAGAGAGAGAGTGAGTGAGTGAGTGAGGTTTTACGCTGCTTTTAGCAATATTCCAGCAATATCACGGCGGGGGACACCAGAAATGGGCTTCACACATTGTACCCATGTCGGGAATCGAACCCGGGTCATCGGCGTGACGAGCGAACGCTTTAACCACTAGGCTACCCGACCGCCCCTGAGAGAGAGAGAGAGGGTGTTATGGCTCTACAGAGAGCTCAGATTGACAAAACACTCTCCACAAGACTGTTTGACAAGAGGGATGACCTCAACTTTCCAATAGTCAACTTTTCCTTCATGTCGAGCAGTATTCGAGCAGCTCCAGCCTTTGGTGTTTACATTTCGCAACTTTTGAAATACAATCGAGCATGCTCTTTCTGCCAAGATTTCAAAGAGCGTCATACGACGCTTGCTCAGAAGATGTTTGATCAAGGTAACAACATTCAAGGCCTCAGTAAAGCTTTCAATAAGTTTTATGGTACACGTGCAGAGGGCATTTCCAAATTTGACGCATCAGTGACAAAAATGATGTCAGATGCAATTCCCTAATTTGACTTGTACCATATGTTCCAAAGTTTTTTTCAGGTGAACAATTGACTTGCCTTTGCATGTGTTTGTGATGAGTGCCACCGGTTTTTCAGGGTACGCTCACCTTTCCGCGAATACCTGGTATCGTTACTATTTCATAGTGATTCATAAACACACCGATTTTTATTGGAAATGGAAATAAAAGGGTTTTGCCGCTTTATTCACGTTCTTATTGTTAAAGATTTATACATACATTATTAAGTACACAAACACTCGAAAAGAAGTCAGCCTTTATTACATACACAGTGTGGCCTAAGAAACAGAATGAATTATCAAAATTCGAGATAAAACACGATTTTACACAAATGTCAAGGGAGCAGTCTCGGTTGAAACAGAGCCACAGTAGCGACCAGCGTTAAACAGAAACAGTGTCACATGCTGCAACGAAGCCCAGCACAGACATTCCTACTTGCTGTATTAGCGCTGCGCCATCTTTATCACGATTTAAAGCGAGATTTTCTTTAACACCCGATTCGTGTGAGCAGGACAGTATATGTATTTTTATATAATTTGTTGGGTTTTAATATATTAATTAAGACAAAAATTAACACAAAGACAAGAATTTGGCATCTTGTATTTTCACCCTCTTCTCTCTACAGGTTAATGTTCTTATTAATAACAGGGGCGGTCGGGTAGCCTAGTGGTTAAAGCGTCCGCTCGTCACGCCGAAGACCCGGGTTCGATTCCCAACATGGGTACAATGTGTGAAGCCCATTTCTGGTGTCCCCCGCCGTGATATTGCTGGAATATTGCTAAAAGCGTAAAACCATACTCATTCACTCTTATTAATAACCTTGTAATTTGCGTACTCGTGGAGGTAGGCCACACAGTCATGTTAATGCTTTTATCACAATATCAATCATTGCACAATGACTGTTTGCTGTGGATTAGATTAATTGTTAGCTTGCAAACAGCATAGCTCTACGTGGAAGTGTTTCAGTTGTGATTAGTTGTCATCAACAGTTATTTGTGTAAATGTGTTCCCATCAGCGCCATTCACAAAGCCAGGAGTACCGAACCACTCCGTGGCTACACCGATCAGGTAATAAACTCGCTTTGGATTAATGGTTACGAATTGATAATTCTATTTCTGCTAAGTCGATAGTCGTTGTTGAGGATATCCATTATGAAACCATAAAGACAGTACACGCATGTGGTCTGCTACGCGTCAGTGTATCAGTGACGTAGGTTTAACGGAAGTCGGATATATACTGAACACACAAGTTAGGGATCATGAATATATTTGGGAATAATTTACTTACAAAAATCCCAAAAATAGTCATGATCCCTAACTTGTTTTGTTCAGTATATATGAGCATGTCCTGTCATACATTGCCTGCACGTATGTGTATGTCTATGCAGCAGGAACGCTCTATTATATCAACTTGTTGGTTGACGTTGACAAATTGACTTTCCTTTGCATGTGTTTGTGACGGTGTTACCGGTGGTTGTTTGGTTGGTTGGTTGGTTGTTTTACGCCGTACTCAGCAATATCCCAGCTATACGACGGCGGTCTGTAAATAATCGAGTCTGGACCAGACAATCCAGTGATTGACATCATGAGCATTGATCCACGCAATTGGGATCGATGACATGCATCAACCAAGTCAGCGAGCCTGACCACCCGATACCGTTAGTCGCCTTTTACGATAAGTATAGTCGCCTTTTACGGCAAGCATGGGTTGCTGAAGACCTATTATACCCCGGATCTTCACGGGTCTGTTACCGGTGGGACTGGAAACGTCCACTTTTTTGCGATCACCTGGTAATATATCATCAGTATTTGATAGTGATTTATAAACACATGCTCATGATATCGACGGAATCGGACAACGGACTGTGATTTCAGCTCAGATTGATTATGGAAATTTAAGAGTTTTGTCGTTTCTATTTATTTGTAGTTTGCTCCTATGTTTATTTCCAGTCAACGAAATATCTAGCAGCTCAGCTACATGACTGTTCAAAGTCACACTCCGCCGATCGCGACTTGTGCGTGACGGTCATGGTGGCGTCAGATGACGTGGTCGAAAATAAACCAAACGTTCTATGATCACCATAACACTGTAACCATGTAACGTCCACACCGCGACAGAGGGGACGTTTCTTTTGCGCAGTACAGTATGTAGATATTATTTTGTGTCTGTAAAAATGTAACTCAATTTGTGACCGTTTTGGCTCTATCGGTAATGATACAAATATGTTTGTAAAAGACATATATGTGCTTAACAATACAAATTGCCATTAGTGTATGCATGAGGTTTCGTATCGTACTTTCTCAATTCATATAAAAAAAACATAATTTATGTCGCTCTTAACATAATTTAATTCTCGTACGCCACTTCTCTGAAGTGAATGTGTGGCAATTTGACACAATCGATTTCGAGATGTGTTATTTCTACATATATTGTGCCTTTCGAAAAGTAATGTTCTGTGCGCCATAACAAAAGCATTCCCTTCTTTACATAAACGGAAGAATAACAACGCACTTGAGTATCATTGAACCCCCATCATGGCGGCACTGACGCCAGGTACTCCACTTATCACGTCTTACAACTTGAGAGAGATTCCGTCAGAAGAAAAAAAACCACTTTCACTAGATCAGGCACAAATATCAACCTCATTCCATTAAAGCCCGTAAATTCAGGTTTCTGAATATCCAATAAAAATTAAAACATGCATCACCGTTAGCTTTTCAGCGAAAAGAACGGCAGAAACCTTGTAACTATATTCCAGCCTCCCAAATTGTGAAGCCACGCATGACGTTGACGGGAGCAGTCATTGTGCGAGATTTCTCGAGAGTTGCGTATCAAAGGTAGGACAAACCTACTACAAGGTTCTCTACTTAAGCTTTTTCCGCCAACTTCGATCTTTCCGTGAACCCAGTCGCTTTATTGCTAATTATACCACATTGAGCACAATAAATATTGATATGGGATGGGGTCGTAAATAGCGTTAGTGGAAGGAGGCCCGTCAAGGTGTGGGAAGTTATGTCTAGGTTCTTTAAGCCTTCGTCGACCGTTATCTAACCATGGAATCATATACCTCTTGTAACTGATACAACCTACGCTAACTAAAACAGTGATCGGCAAAGTATAGATGAATCTTAAAATAGAACCATGTGCTCGAAAGCAGCATCTATTGTCAATACTTGCTGTAATCTGTTTGAAATCACGTGAGTATTTCACAATTTTGGTTTAATAATACGTGTGCGACACAGAGATTGATGGCATGTATTGCTTTAGGTCAAAGAACGGACGAGCCTTGTGGGTTGATGTGCTATTTATTTATTTTTAAAATACCTCACTAAAAGCTAATATCGGCGTATTTGTATTCCATTAACACCTTTAAGGTCGCATCACACCTTCAACGTCACACCTTTAACCCGTCAAGTTTAATGTCGTAAAGTATCGCTCGTCAAATTGCCACTTGTTAGACGTCCCATTAGTTAGACGTCCCAATTGTTAGACAATTTTACCTAGGCAAAGAGGGATTATACCTACAGGTGTAATGGATCAGTCCTTATTAGATTAAAGTACTGAGTAGGGATAGGGGACTCACTGTTTAGGGAGTATATATGTTACAATTTCCTTTAATTAATCTAAAATACCTTACTCTCAGCACAGGTTCAATAGGCATGAGATTAACTATGTAAACAATGGAGTAGCTTAATTGTCTTACTGTATGATCAGTTGAAGGAGTTGAGTTGAGATTATCTACTCATCAAACAAATAAAAATGATCTTGGGGTACGTATCATTATCAGTATCGATGATGGCTGGTTTAAGGAAAGTAGAGTACATCACCTCTCGGCGTGGAAGTAAGCAGTTGATATCAGATGGATATCTTTACAACAGAAACCGTGAGAGGCAAACCTGCACACATTGGAGATGTGTCGTCAAGACATGCAATGGGAAATGTACGACTGTCGGTGACTTTCTTCGCAATCAGTCGGAACATAACCATCCACCTGAAGATGAAACCAGAGAGACCTTTGTCAGCAATCTTCGTAAAAGAGCGCGAGAAGAAACCACACAGATGCAGGCATTGTACGAGGAGCAAGTCACTCAAGTAGATGAAGCCAGCATCCCAGCGATGCCATCATTTCAGAGCGTGAAAAGTGCGCTTTACAGGTAAATATCATCCCGTATTTTTGACTTGGTTAGAATTAACCTTTTTTTTAGGTCCCACCTAACTTGTTTCGCTGTTAACCATTTCAAGTGAATGAAATCATTATCAATATTTCATGTAACATATGTGTAACTGTTTCTTTGCTCTTTGTCAGGCATCGTCGCAAGACCATTCCAGCGTTACCCGGGTCGCGGTCAGCAGTAGACATTGAAGACAAATGGTCCGAGACAACAGATGGACGTCCCTTTCTACTGTTCAGCGACGGCGACGATGACAAGATCTTGGCGTTCTCCACTGCAGAACAGATACTCGCCCTCCAGGAAGCTGACACCCTTTACATGGATGGTACCTTCACAGCATGTCCAGGTTTATGGGATCAAGTATATATCATTCATGCCAGAGTTGGTCAAAACACCTTCCCTCTAGTGTTCGCCCTTTTGCCAGATCGTCAAGCAACAACCTATGGCCGTCGACCTATGGATTCGACGAGCAGCTGGGCTAGCTCTGCTGCCCATTCCCTTTGTTCAGGATGCATGGGTTCAAGCTATGGAGTCGACACCAGATGTGCCTAGAGCTGTGGACTTTAACGACTATATTGTGAGAACCTGGGTGGATGATGACGCCAGATTCTCAATGCGCATGTGGAACCATTTCGAAACTGATGGACCCAGAACCAACAACAACCTTGAAGGATTCCACAGCCGACTGAACCACCTACTGCCACATGTTCACCCTAACATCTACAGATTCATTGAAGTCATCCAGAAAGTCGAGTTCAGTGAAAGGACTAAGGTGATGCAATTGAACTTTGGTGCGGCACCACGCTGCCGCAAGAGAATCTACAGAGAGACAGAGAACCGCCTGGTACGCCTCAAAGATCAGCTGCAGCAGGGTGACAAGTCTGCTATTGAGTATTTAGATGCTTGTGGACACTCGCTTCGTTTGGGATAAGGGCGGAATCCCGACATGGGTACATTGTCTGAAGCCAATTTCTGGTGTCCCCCGCCGTGATATTGCTGGAATATTGCTAAAAGCGGCGTAAAACCATATCACTCACTCACTCGTTTGGGATAAAACTGTAAAAGTTATTAAATGTAACGTTTACATTATCAAAAACTGTCACAAAGTGTTGTTAAAAACTGTATAAAATTTATTAAATGTAAAGTGTCATTAAATGTGAAGTATAATATTAAACTATCTGTTTAAAGCTGCTTTGCTTTGTTTGTCAGATCTTATCTGGACTATTCCATTTTAAAGCCTGAGGTAACAAGCATAAGGATTAGTGTGCACTCAACCGTTTAAAGTGTTGTTATAAGCTGTCTAACTATTGGGACGTCTAACTAATGGGAGGACACCGTCGTAAAGGGTCGTTCGTCGACAGCTATCTTTATGTCGAAAAGTATTGTTCGTTGACAATGACCTTTTTGTGGTAGAGAGATGTCGTAAAATATCGCTCGTCAAATGGCCACCTATATGTCGTAAAGGGTCGTTCGTCGACAAATATCTTTATGTCGTTAAGTATTGTTCATTGACAACGACCTTTGTGTGGTAAAGTGATGTCGTAAAGTACCGGCGGCCATGTTGATGTCGTAAAGTAGGGTTCACCGGAAGATCATAGTTTGTCGTACAGTGTTGTGCACCTGAATGAAGGCTGGTGTCTGTGAGTATGACTGCATCAAATATAAACACTGTGAATTACCTCATACTCAGAACAAAGAACGCACTTGGGCAAAGTGTGGAACTGAATGTAAATAGACCAGTCTGTACAAAACGAGTAAATATGAATCTGCGGCCACCACAACAGGCCATGGCCGTGTAACTTACAAGAGGAATCGCCTCGAAGTGGAACCCCTATGGCTAGCTTACTGGGACATTTCACTTCAGGGGGACTTTGGTCCACGATACGGTCTTTATTCCGAGTTTGGGTCTAGGTCTTGTAACGATGTCCTGTGTGGAGAATTGTCACTAGGACTCCTTACATTGTCATAAGGACTCTTTACATTGTCATTAGGACTCCTTACTTTGTCATTAGGACTCCTCACATGCTCCTTACATGCTACATTGGCATGGGCATTGAGTTGGAGCATTTCGAAAAGGATTTGCTACACCTCCTTATTGACCCACACATGGTCCATCTGTATCCCCATTGTCCATCTGTAATCTCATGGTCCGTCTGTAACCCCATTGTCCATCTGTAACCTCATTGTCCATCTGTTATCTCATGGTCCATCTGTAACCCCATTGTCCATCTGTAATCTCATGGTCCATCTGTAACCCCATTGTCCATCTGTAATCTCATGGTCCATCTGTAACCCCATTGTCCATCTGTAATCTCATGGTCCGTCTGTAACCCCATTGTCCATCTGTAACCTCATTGTCCATCTGTAACCCCATTGTCCATCTGTAACCCATTGTCCATCCGAAAAAACCATGATCCATCTGTAACTTCATGGTCCATCTGTAACCCCATTGTCCATCTGTAACCCCATTGTCCACCTGTAACCCCATTGTCCATCTGTAACCTCATGGTCCATCTGTAACCTCATTGTCCATCTGTAACCCCATTCTCCATCTCTAGCCCCATTGTCCACCTGTAACCTCATGGTCCATCTGTAACCCCATTGTCCATCTGTAACCCCATTCTCCATCTGTAACCCCATTGTCCATCTGTAACCCCATTGTCCATCTGTAACCCCATTGTCCATATGTAACCCCATTGTCCATCTGTAACCTCGTAGTCCCTCTGTAACCTCATAGTCCCTCTGTAACCTCATTGTCCATCTGTAACCCCATTGTCCATCTGTAACCCCATTGTCCATCTGTAACCCCATTGTCCATATGTAACCCCATTGTCCATCTGTAACCTCGTAGTCCCTCTGTAACCTCATAGTCCCTCTGTAACCTCACAGTCCCTCTGTAACCTCATTGTCACTGTGTAAGTTAAACAGATGATCCCACTGCAACCTCGTGGAACAGTCTCAAACAGGTCAGCACATTCAAGAATGCAAACATTATTTGATATAAGTGTCTTTCCCCTAATGGTTAACATAAAAACTTCCAAAATGGTTGACCGTAAAGTAGCCAAGGTGGCAACCAGTCTCGTCTTCAAAATTCCAATTTGTAAATTTAGACATAAATTTATCTAAATATTTATATATATTTAAATATAAATGTACGTACATTTACGTACATTCATACATAAATGTATCAGAATATATGCTTAGGCATGTACATTTCATATTTACAACATACTATATAACACCAACGACAGGTAATAACCAGTCTCGATTATCCGACGAAACAGATTCGGGCGTAAAAGGTAAAATAGTGGTGACAACTATTACATGGAACGCTGAAAATTAGGTATTTTCCAATGATTAAGCGTGTAAAGGCGTGATTTGCAAACATTTACAAGTATGTAAAGGTACACATTTCTTCCAGTGTATGAGACGTGACCGGCCTATTAGCAGCCTGAGTGCCCCTTTAACATTGTGTCGTCGGCTGCTGCTGTCCGCTCCTGTCGCCAGGTACTGTACCTCTGCACACTTAACGGCCTCACAGAAACAACGCCAGCGGTCGGGCGTAAAATAATCGAATTGGTTCCATTTGACCAATAAGTCAAGACACGCCTCGTTAAGTCTGTTTCAGCGTCAGGATCCCGTGAACAGATGATTACCTGGCTCGGTTTGTGGTCATTACTTCATAGCCACTATCAGATGGCTGAAGGAGACGTCCCAATCCACTCCGGGTGTGGTAATTAGTGTTAATCATACGCTATGCAGAATCTCGGCGCCGCTATTTAACATGGAAACGTTGCTTTAGTTTGCAACTGTGGGGTGCTCATGTTAGATCACATTATTTTTTTTAAAAATAGTCAAAATGTCGTAAAAAACACAAATCAAAACTGGTAAAGCAATAATGGAATTAGGTTGTTGCGACGTTTTCTCATGTCTCATGTTGCGTGTTGCGTTTCTCATGTTGTATGGACTTTAACGAGGGTTCCATCGACCTTGTGTGAGTGAGTTGTGTTTTATGCTGCTTTAATGTGAGCGTCGGCCTACTAACGCTTGTCAGAGAAAACGCAGGTTTTGGACGTTGACAACTTTGATTAAAGCCAAAGGCACGGGTATGGTCCTGACAAACCTAGAAACATAATCGGGACGGACCGGGATTCGAACCCACGATCAAATATTTCTGGCGTCCCCAAGGACGCATCTCTGCACAGCGATTTGCGGCGCCTTCGACGACTGGGCCACCCGTGTCCCCTTTACAATGATAACGTGTAAACGTGTAAACAACACAAGAAATTAAACATACTTCGACTCGTTATAAAATAGAAATGTTTCCATAGGGCTTTAAACACCAAGGAGTAGAAACATTATATCATTTCTGAAATTCAGTGGAAATAGTCTGCTTCAAGACTAGGGGACAGGACAGTAACCATGTGTGTGTGTGTGTGTGTGTGTGTGTGTGTGTGTGTGTGTGTGTGTGTGTGTGTGTGTGTGTGTGTGTGTGTGTGTGTGTGTGTGTGTGTGTGTGTGTGTGTGTGTGTGTGTGTGTGTGTGTGTGTGCGTGCGCGTGCGTGCGTGCGTGCGTGCGTGCGTGCGTGCGTGTCACTCTCCATACACGACCGAACAGTATAGTTCGCCTCCGTGGTAAGGTGCTAGTGCGTCCGCCAGGAGAGCGGAAGGTCCGGGGTTCGATCCCCGGCCGCCTCACACCATAAGACGTTAAAAGATGGTACTTGTTGTCACCCTGTCTGGCGCTCGGCAAACAAGGACTCGGAGTCAGTATACGGTGTCTGAATGGGGTATTCATGTTAAACTGCGGCATGGTGTCTCACTGGGCTAGTGCTAAAAAATCGGCATCACTCCGAACTAGTACACACACACACACACACACACACACACACACACACACACGCACACGCACACGCACACGCACGCACGCACACACGCACACACGCACACACACACACACACGTGCATGCACGTCGCTATAATGCAATAATCATGGACGCGACGTTAAACCGCACGTCACGTCACCTCACCTCACCGACCAGTATAACGTCAGAGTACTTGCAAGGTCAAACACTCCACAACTTGCTTCTAATTTAAAGTTTGTGTTAATACAATATTCAGCCATTATCAAATAAACGTATCAGTTGTAACTCCAGTTTGGGGTTAATCCATATAACAGTAATGCCTTCATTAACAAACCAGGACTATCCGGTACAACCTCTCGTCATTAATATTTACTGAGTGGGAGTATTAACACAACAAAACACTTCTTGACTTTCTTTGACAACATCTCCCATCAATAATGCAGCCCCTCTTTAACCTGTCTATAAACAATAAACAATTGATGGTCTTAACAACCTTAAGTGTTTAATCACACCATTCACCCTTAATTTCCTCACACACACGACCACAGTTGACAGAACTGATGGGACGAGATAAGGATGTCATTCCACACCCTCTTAACTATGGATGGGGTCGATGATCACGTCGTTGATCCTTTGTTTGTTTTCGGGTCGATAGGTTTCACTCAATCCACTGTCTGAATTATAACTGCTTTAATAAAAGATCGGGCCTGATTTAAAGCTAATGACGGACAGATTGCTTATCGATTGATGCGGATTTCAGTCAGCTTGAAATAACCGTCATTGGACCCGCATGCTTGACCGCCCGTCGTCCATGTTTTTAGAGATATGGTCTCGTGTTTGAATTTGTTAAAAGGTTAAATCTTCATTTTTTTATCTTATAAAAACAAGAATCAAAGGTTGTTTGCAAGCAAAAATGAAGAACTAATCCATTGAGACGACCTAAACTTCAATATTAGCGAGGGAAAACACAAGTGAGGGTAAAAGTTCTTGTTTGATTTTGAATTTGAGCAAAATGCTTGGCTGCAGTTTTCATTAGAGCTGAAGATGTAAGTGTTGATTTCAACTAACGTCGGCCCCACCATGCACTTGAAACATGGACTTGAAACAAGCGGTCGACAGAATACCCTTCACATATTTTTATTTTTAATATATCTCGCTTTAAAAATAGTGGCACAATCATCCCGCCCACTTGATGACGTCATCGGCTATACAGGTGTGTAATCGTCATGCCTCCATCTTACATTTACTTCCGCTGTTACCAAGTGAGAATGTTAACTAGTAAATGGCAATAAGGAATGTAAAACTTATATTATCAGTGTCTTTTTTTTCAGAGACCTACCGCGTGAAAGCGCTTCAGTCCCTCTGTCATTTTTTGTGGTTTTTTTTGTGTGAAAACAAAAATACTGATTTACACGCTGTACAACGATGTTGGAGTATCGTTTCATCAGCTAACCTCAGATGACCTCTTACCAGTGCCGTAGCCAGCCGGGTGGCGGGGGCATTTTTTTATAGGAAACAGTGTTATTTGAATCAATATTAATACCCACCCTTATTTAATTTGATGTTATCGTTTTCTCGGCTTGTTCTTAATTTATGTAATTATATATTTATTAATTAATACTTAGAAATTAGTACCAAATATGATTACATTATCAATGCACATAATTCTATCCACAAAATCGTATTCATTGTCCTATACATGTATACAGTAAACAACGGTTATAACGAACTCAAAGGGACCACTAATCTTAGTTCGTTATAACCGTAGTTCGTTATAAGCATATGTACAGCAAATATACAGCAAATGTTATGTCCGTCAGTTCGTTATAAGCGTGTACGTTATAACCGCAGTTTACTGTATATAGTATAAAGTTACATTAAAAACCAAATTAATCAATTTTATCATGTACACTAATATGACATGAAGGAGTGTTTTATTTGTACAAATATACATTATACACATACATGTATTTACACAATCAACAAGCTACAACAGTTAAATGAACCCTTTGTTCTCTGTACGGAGCTTTGGTTAGGAACAAATCAAAGCGAAAGAGCCGGAAGTTGTACCCTGGGCGTGTCTGGGAGCTTGAAATCACGATTGTCTGAGATTTGTTGATTCGGCTAATGCACGGTTGAATTAAGTAGGATTTCTGTGCTACGTCTAATGTTATACAGGGGCAGATGCTCCTTCCAAGTCTTATCTATCTCACTGACTTAGCGGCTGTATATAGACGCTATGCTGACATAGGGCGTGATGGGTGCCACTGGGCTAACATTTAGTCCCAGGAATATAGTTATCTTATTTCAACATATAGATCTTCAAAATAATAGATTAAATCCAAATGGAGCCCAGAACAATGTTTCATTTCCTGTAGCTGAGGCAATCTAGACTTGCCAAATTATCCTAGACCTGATTTGGATTGCCGTTTTATTATATTCTCAAGGGTCAGGGAGACAGGCTAGGGTGCCACCGATGGCGCTTTACGCTCACACCTTTCCGCGAACACCTGGTGTCCGGGTTTCCTAAAAAATGAAAGTCCGACAACTGGTAGTCTAGATCACGTTTTTTGTGTACCCCTCTGACAAGTGTATATTGGCACGGCTTCCATGGCCGAAAGCTTTGAATACACAAAGTCATTTGGAATGTGGTCAAATGTTACGAATGTTATATTTAGGATAACACTTTCTTAGTAAAGTACAGCCAATTTACGCTACTCCGAGGGGTACACAAAGTACATGATCTAGACTACCAGTTGTCGGACCCCTCGGTGGTTGAGTGGGCAAGACCGCTGACTTTGTGTGCTGGCGATTAGGTGCCTCACTCTGAGAATGTGCGTCCAAAAAGGTACTAGAATCTGTACGAAGAAAGTGTTATCCAAAACATAACATTTGTTACATTTAACCACTTTCTAAATGGCATTGTGTATTCATGCCTCCTGCTCCTTCACCGGAAGAGTACTGTTTGTTTGTTTGTTTGTTTGTTTGTTTGTTTAACGTCGCCCTCAGCAATATTCCAGCTATATGACGGCGGTCTGTAAATAATCGAGTTTGGACCAGACAATCCAGTGATTGATATTATGAGCATCGATCCACGCAATTGAGATACGATGACATGCATCACCACCAGACCACCCGATCCCGTTAGTTGCCTCTTATGACAAGCATAGTCGCCTTTTACGGCAAGCAGGAGTTGCTGAAGACCTATTCTAACCTGGATCTTCACGGGTCGGGTGAATACTGATTATATACATGATATGTTTACATGACACATGATGGGATCAATGTACAAAGTTATTTGCAATATTTGATTGACATCTTGCGTAACATGTTTTCTGGGATTTTTCTATTTTCAACAAAGACGATCGGTTGGCGACAAAGAACATAGCAACTGGCGGCCAGATGATATCACAGAGAACGGCCAGAAGGTGCTGCTATGCTGAGTGGGAAGAGATATAATTGGCTTCTTATTGATACCCTTTCTAAGGTCTGTGTGATCAACGCTGATTTCAGAAAATCAAACTTACTGACGTCACAGCATCTAATGAAGAGAATCAAATTCTTAACAGCTTGTTTCACAGGTTGAAATGACACCACGAACGTCGGCCTGCGAGATTGAAATTTACAAGGTCGGGTGGACATTCAGCAACTCCCCCACCACTTACCCCCCTTTGATTGGCAGTGTATTGGAGATAATGTCAAACAATTTTATGAATACTTCCTTTGCGAGCATATAGTCTTTGGTATTTTTTTCTTTACGACTTTGAGTAATACCTTCAACCACGTTGATGTTCGGTTTACTGAACTGAGTTTAACTTTATCGCATGTTGGATGTGAGATGTCTTACTGGTCTTCATCAATGAATGAGCTGTTTGGGGTTCCTGATATATTACTGTGTTACCTCAATGTGGAAAAATATTTTCTATAAGATTTTATTAAAGGGATGACACTACAGATATATTGAGATATCGTTTACATATTTCCTATATTTCGACATTGTAATGCTCTTTATCTATAATCCAACATTGAAGAACTTGCTTTTTTTTTTAAACTAACACAAATATGTCTACTGTCTTACATTTAAGCTTAACTTTATTTAAAGACATTGTTATACTTTGTTCAATATGATTGAGTAAGTATGGTTTTATACTGCTTTTAGCAATATTCCAGCAATGTCACGGCAGGAGGGGGTGGGGACACCAGAAATGGGCTTAACACAAACGGAAAGGAAAATTATATCTGGCGTTAACGCCATGGCATCTTTTGCATCTCTGGCATCCACCAAGTGAGTGAGTGAGTTGTGTTTAACGCCGCTTCGGGGGAGCATAGTAGCCTAGTGGTTAAAGCATTCTTTCTTCACGCCGAAGACCCGGGTTCGATTCCCAACATGGGTACAATGTGTGAAGCGCATTTCTGGTGTTTCCCGCTGTGATATTTCTCAAGAAGCGGCGTAAAACCATACTCACTCGCTCACTCCAATCTGGGGATGGAACCTGGCCATTAGATGGATGAACAATGCATGAACGAACTGCAACTTCACACCGTTCTGCTCCGTACTCAAGACACACTAAACTCCGAGACAAAAACATTGCATTTCCAATACACGTCTAAAGTTCATGACATAGAAACAAGCGCTGTGACTACACTGTAGTATTTAATGTACCAAAATCGATTATTTTAATCGAAATCCAAATGTTAACACGCACCGTACGCTTAAACAAAGAGTCTGGACAATGGGACGTTCGATTGTGCTGATTTGCGTTAAAACGATATCCCCATAAGGGAAAGACAGAAATATCATGGCTTGTTAGCTTACCCGTTGAACAAACATCAAGCATTCTATGGATACAAATATTTTTGAAAAGGCAGCCTCGATCTGATCCGAGGAGGAGATACACGCATCTATGCAATCAATTTGATTGTGGACCAGAAATAATTTCCAAACCACATGATCTCGAAAGTAAATAGGTCGTCATTATGTCAGCTGAATTATATGGAACATACCTTCGATGTCTGTGGATGTTGAAAGATAATATGCTGAGCAAATATTTGCCGGTGATTGAATAATACTCGTAGTTGACTGTTTCTGGTACACGATGCTGTTGCCAACGTCACGGTTGCAGACGAGACTTGGCGTGTGGGACAGTGAGGTGAGAAACTCAGATATATTACAACAAAATTAAATACCATCTAAACTTTAAGGCGCCTTAACAGATTTAGTATGGTAAAATGAAATAATCTGGTGGTCCATAACATTTTTGGTAATTAATGTTTCACTGATGTTCCATCGCCATACTAACAGCAACATCTTGGTTTGTCTGTCTCTCCATCCCGCGTGGAATAAGTTTGGGGGTATGCATAAAATATGTTTTCAAATAGCTCCGTGTTAAACAACTCGTAACTCTTAATCGACAAAATCTCACGATTGAAGTTACTTATTTAATTCTTAGTTATGATTGTTGTGTACTTTTACCTGTTGTATATCATTATGACTTTGCATAAACAACTTTTGGGGGTAAGGCAGTGGTAAGCGCTTTTGCGCACCGCGTCCGAAATCCCACATGGGTACAATATTTTATCCTAACGGAATCAGGTGGTCAGGCTTGCTGACTTGGTTGATGCATAATATCGATCCCAATCCCATGGATCGATGCTCATGTTGTCAATCACTGGATTGTCTGGTCCAGACTCGATTATTTACAGACCGCCGTCATATAGATGGAATATTGCTGAGTGCGGCGTTAAACAACAAACAAACAATATTTTATCCCCACATGGGAACAATATTTTAAGGTGGTACCTGGTGATTGTTTGGATGTTTCAGAAGGCAGTGAAACCAAACGCTATCATTTCTGTGTAAATCCGAGACTTTTCCGTTCCCCAGATTCCTAGTGGTGTTGATAAGGACTAGTGGATACATAAGGATATAGAGGCCACAATGGCGTACTGTCAACCACTGGAAGGATCAGATTAAAATACCAACAGTCCAGCGAGCACGCAAGAGAGGCATTGAAGAAGAAGAAGACGACGAAGAAGAAGACGAAGAAGAAGAAGAAAGAAAGAAAGAAGGTAGCGCTTCCTGGGAGAAGTCCCATTCGCTGCCTGGGCTGCGTGTAGAGGGTGCAAGAGCCCTGAGTTGATGATGAGCCTAACCAGCCTGACCGTGCCAGGATCACCCAAACTCTCTTTTCTGCATATATGTATTTTTATTTGTTTATTATAATCATATATTTATCTTTAATATTTCATAATAAGATGTAAAGATGATATCTATATCAAAAACCATGTTGGGAAGCTAATGCAATAAACATTGACGATGAAGGGAAATGGCGTCACAACCATTGTGACGCAATTTCTCATTTCACGCCAACAATGACGATTGTATTACCTCAACAATAGTGTGAAATTATTATCACGTGTTTCGTATGAATATTTATGAGCTCGCTCATATTGAATCTTATGCATAATAACCAAACAAACAAAATATATCAAACACAGTTCAATCGGAACAGCTTTTCATTCGCACCATCACGACATTTTGATGCCTCTGAAAATCCCCCTGTGCTTGCATAAACAAATGTCAGGAGAATTAAAAGGAAATACTATTTCCGCACCTTTGCCAATGTCACAAATTCCCTTATTTGACCGACTCTGTTTTACATTTGTTGATTCTGGATATGTATTGTGACGTCATCGTCGTCAATAAGGAAAAAAGCTTGAAAACAAAGCACCATAACGCTGTCTAACCAATATCGCCCACGCACAATTACCAGACACAGGAACACTGGATAAAATGTAACGACGAAATAAACACTCAAGCCTCATCATGTAGGTCCGCAGAGAATCAATGTGATAAATGATTTCATTTTGCCAGACTATATTACTCGCAATGACTAATGCACATGTCTCTATCATCACGTCATTTGCATTATACGTCATACAGGTGTGTCTTGACTAATGTGCATGTCTCTATCATCACGTCATTTGCATTATACAGGTGTGTCTTGACTAATGCACATGTCTCTATCATCACGTCATTTATATTATACGTCATACAGGTGTGTCTTGACTAATGTGCATGTCTCTATCATCACGTCATTTGCATTATACAGGTGTGTCTTGACTAATGCACATGTCTCTATCATCACGTCATTTGTATTATACGTCATACAGGTGTGTCTTGACTAATGTACATGTCTCTATCATCACGTCATTTGTATTATACAGGTGTGTCTTGACTAATATGCATGTCTCTATCATCACGTCATTTGTATTATACGTCATACAGGTGTGTTTTGACTAATATGCACGTCTCTATCATCACATCATTTGCATTATACGTCATACAGGTGTGTCTTGACTGATGTACATGACTATATCATCACGTCATTTATATTATACAGGTGTGTCTTGACTAATGTACATGTCTCTATCATCACGTCATTTATATTATACAGGTGTGTCTTGACTAATGCACATGTCTCTATCATCACGTCATTTGCATTATACGTCATACAGGTGTGTCTTGACTAATGTACATGTCTCTATCATCACGTCATTTGCATTATACGTCATGCAGGTGTGTCTTGACTAATGTACATGTCTCTATCATCACGTCATTTGTATTATACGTCATGCAGGTGTGTCTTGACTAATGTACATGTCTCTATCATCACGTCATTTCCTTTATACAGGTGTGTCTTGACTAATCCACATGTCTCTATCATCACGTCATTTGCATTATACGTCATACAGGTGTGTCTTGACTAATGCACATGTCTCTATCATCACGTCATTTGTATTATACAGGTGTGTCTTGACTAATGCACATGTCTCTATCATCACGTCAATTGCATTATACGTCATACAGGTGTGTCTTGACTAATGTGCATGTCTCTATCATCACGTCATTTGCATTATACAGGTGTGTCTTGACTAATGCACATGTCTCTATCATCACGTCATTTGCATTATACGTCATACAGGTGTGTCTTGACTAATGTACATGTCTCTATCATCACGTCATTTGTATTATACAGGTGTGTCTTGACTGATGTACATGTCTCTATCATCACGTCTTTTGCATTATACGTCATACAGGTGTGTCTTGACTGATGTACACGTCTCTATCATCACGGCATTTGTATTATACGTCATACAGATGTGTCTTGACTAATGTACATGTCTCTATCATCACGTCATTTGTATAATACAGGTGTGTCTTGACTAATGTACATGTCTCTATCATCACGTCATTTATATTATACAGGTGTGTCTTGACTAATGTACATGTCTCTATCATCACGTCATTTGCATTATACGTCATACAGGTGTGTCTTGACTAATGTACGTGTCTCTATCATCACGTCATTTATATTATACAGGTGTGTCTTGACTAAAGCATATGTCTCTATCATCACGTCATTTGCATTATACGTCATACAGGTGTGTCTTGACTAATGTACATGTCTCTATCATCACGTCATTTGCATTATACGTCATGCAGGTGTGTCTTGACAAATGTACATGTCTCTATCATCACGTCATTTGTATTATACAGGTGTGTCTTGACTAATGTACATGTCTCTATCATCACGTCATTTGCATTATACGTCATGCAGGTGTGTCTTGACTAATGTACATGGCTCTATCATCACGTCATTTGCATTATACGTCATGCAGGTGTGTCTTGACTAATGTACATGTCTCTATCATCACGTCATTTGTATTATACAGGTGTGTCTTGACTAATGCACATGTCTCTATCATCACGTCATTTGCATTATACGTCATACAGGTGTGTCTTGACTAATGCACATGTCTCTATCACCACGTCATTTGTATTATACCGGTGTGTCTTGACTAATGTGCATGTCTCTATCATCACGTCATTTGTATTATACAGGTGTGTCTTGACTAATGTACATGTCTCTATCATCACGTCATTTGTATTATACGTCATACAGGTGTGTCTTGACTAATGTACATGTCTCTATCATCACGTCATTTGTATTATACAGGTGTGTCTTGACTAATGTGCATGTCTCTATCATCACGTCATTTATATTATACAGGTGTACATGTGTCTTGACTAATGCACATGTCTCTATCATCACGTCATTTGTATTATACAGGTGTGTCTTGACTAATGCACATGTCTCTATCATCACGTCATTTGTATTATACGTCATACAGGTGTGTCTTGACTAATGTACATGTCTCTATCATCACGTCATTTGTATTATACAGGTGTGTCTTGACTAATGTGCATGTCTCTATCATCACGTCTTTTGCATTATACGTCATACAGGTGTGTCTTGACTGATGTACATGTCTCTATCATCACGTCATTTGTATTATACAGGTGTGTCTTGACTAATGTACATGTCTCTATCATCACGTCATTTGTATTATACAGGTGTGTCTTGACTAATGTGCATGTCTCTATCATCACGTCTTTTGCATTATACGTCATACAGGTGTGTCTTGAATGATGTACATGTCTCTATCATCACGTCATTTGTATTATACGTCAAGCAGGTGTGTTTTGACTAATGTACATGTCTCTATCATCACGTCATTTGTATTATACAGGTGTGTCTTGACTAATGTGCATGTCTCTATCATCACGTCATTTGCATTATACGTCATACAGGTGTGTCTTTACTAATGCACATGTCTCTATCATCACGTCATTTGCATTATACGTCATACAGGTGTGTCTTGACTTATGTGCATGTCTCTATCATCACGTCAATTGCATTATACGTCATACAGGTGTGTCTTGACTTATGTGCATGTCTCTATCATCACGTCATTTGCATTATACGTCATACAGGTGTGTCTTGACTAATGTTCATGATTGTCTATATCGTCACGTCATTTGTATTATACAGGTGTGTCTTGACTAATGTACATGTCTCTATTATCACGTCATTTGCATTATACGTCAAACAGGTGTGTTTTGACTGATGTTCATGATTGTCTATATCGTCACGTCATTTGTATTATACAGGTGTGTCTTGACTAATATGCACGTCTCTATCATCACGTCATTTGCATTATACGTCAAGCAGGTGTGTCTTGACTAATGTACATGTCTATATCATCACGTCATTTGCATTATACGTCAAGCAGGTGTGTCTTGACT